GTGAAGGGAATTGAGTCTTTGATTTGGTTCTCAATTAGATTGTTGTTGGCGTATATTAATGCCTCTGATTTCTGTGTATTGATTTTGTATCCTGAGACTTTACTAAATTCATTGATCAGTTCCAGGAGTTTCTTGGTTGAATCCTTGGGGTTTTCTAGATACAATATCATATCAATTATATGGGAAGTCTCCAAAAATTTGGGGCTGTGTTTTAAAACCACTACAGTAAGGGAGACATTATATTTTCTCATTTAATTCTAAAACAAGATAGGAAGTCATCTCTTTGGAACTTTCTTTTTTATTATCTGTTTTAAACAATGGGATTATTTAGTGATTTGCCCAAGGTCATATATTTCAAATTGATGTTGGAGCTTGAATTTGAACCCACGTTGGATGTAAACGCAGTCCTCTTGCTAGCTATGCTCACTCTCCATGCTTCCTGGCATTTCCTTAGTTAAGGCCACCATCACTCCAGGCTATCCTTGCAACAACCTCCTTACCCAGCCTTCCTGCCTCCTATCCCACTCTCTTCCAAACATGCCCCATGCAAAGGGCAAAAAGCATAGCATTGTGCCCTTGCTTCTAACTCTTCCAGCCTCCTGTGACCCTCAGACTGAAATGCAGCTCTTTCCTTTCCCTGAACTTGGTTGCCAGCCCTTCTTGATGACATCCCAGCCTACTCCTTGAGATCAGCAACAGTCATCTTCCCTTCGTACTTTATTCTAGGAGACGTCTACAGGAAGATTTTCCCCCTAATATTTATTGAACATGATCCTTTGTGCTTTACGGGAATTATCTAATTTAATTTTTTGCAACAACTTCATTTGTTAGATTCTCTTATATTTGTTTTTTTTTTCTTTTCATTCTTCTTTTTTTCTAGTTTGAGCCAGATTTTCTTATATGTGAAGCCTGCTATGTTTGCTGGGGGAGCCAAGCTCTTAACCTCTATGATAAACTGTTTCTCCTTGCAGTTTCCTAAGTGCACAGTTCCTTTCTGGTGTCTGAGATTTTATACTTCTTTGTCTCTGTACTTCTCTACCTCCTGTCTCACTAACTTACACTTCCTTTTCAGGTTCCAGATTTAGACAGTCCCCCCTCCAGGAAGATATCTTGAGACTGGTTGAGCTTCCCTGCTATTTCCTCCCATAATATCCTGTCTTATTTCTAGCCAGTGCTTTTCATTTTGTATTGAAATTGTCTGTTTTCTTGTGCTCTCACAGACTGCAAATTTTTTTTTTTTTTTTTCTTTTTGAGACAGAGTCTTGCTTTGTCACCCCAGCTAGAGTGTAGTGGGATGATCTTAGCTCACTGCAACCTCAGACGCCTGGACTCCAGCGATCTTCCTGCCTCAGCCTCCTGAGTAGCTGGGACTACAGGTACATGACACTGTGCCTGGCTCGTTTTTCTATTTTTAGTAGAGACAGGGTCTTGCTCTTGCCCTTGCTGGTGTTGAGTGCTCAAGTGTTCCTCCTGCCTTGGCCTCCCAGAGTCCTAGGATTACGGGTGTAAGCCATGGTGCCTGGACCAGACTGCAAATTCTTTGAGTGTAGGAACAGTCTTGACTTCACTCTCCTCTTCTGAAGTGAAAGGTGTTTCAGTCCGCCATCCTCACAGGTTCTCCCTGAGCCTTCATCACCGATGGGGCTATGAGTCTGCTGAGTGCTCACTCCCACATATGCAGCCAGATACCAGAAACTGGACCCAGGTAACAGAGTTTGTCATGGTGGGCTTTGCGGAGGTGCATGAAGCACGCTTCCTCTTCTTCACACTCTTCCTCACCATGTACCTGTTCACCCTGGTGGAGAACTTGGCCATCATCTTAGTGGTGGGCTTGGACCACCAGCTACAGAGACCCATGTATTTCTTCCTGACACACCTGTCCTGCCTTGAAATCTGGTATACATCCATCACAGTGCCCAAGATGCTGGCTGGCTTTATTGGGGTGAATGGGGGAAAGAATATCTCCTATGCTGGCTGCCTGTCCCAGCTCTTCCTTTTCACCTTCCTCGGGGCAACTGAGTGCTTCCTACTGGCCGCCATGGCCTACGATCGCTATGTGGCCATCTGCCTGCCTCTCCGCTATGGAGCCTTGGTGTCCTGGGGCTCCTGCATCCGTCTGGCGGCTGCCTGTTGGCTGGTAGGCTTCCTCACACCCATTTTGCCCATCTACCTCATGTCTCAACTGATATTTTGTGGCCCAAATGTCATTGACCACTTCTTCTGTGATGCCTCACCCCTGCTAGCCTTGTCTTGCTCAGATGTCACCCTGAAGGAGACGGTGGACTTCCTGGTATCCCTGGCTGTGCTCCTGGCCTCCTCTACGGTCATTGCCGTGTCCTACGGCAACATCGTCTGGACGCTGCTGCACATCCGCTCGGCTGCTGAGCGCCGGAAGGCTTTCTCCACCTGTGCAGCTCACTTGACTGTTGTGAGCCTCTTTTACGGCACTCTTTTCTTCATCTATGTCAGGACCAAGGTGACCTCCTCCATCAACTTCAACAAAGTGGTGTCCGTCTTCTACTCCATTGTCACGCCCATGCTCAATCCTCTCATCTACAGTCTTCGGAACAAGGAGGTGAAGGGAGCTCTGGGTCGGGTCTTTTCTTTCAAGTCTTGGAAGGGACAGTGAGGAGGCAGTGGGGGACTCAGTTTCCTTGCCTTGGGTATTTAAAAGGAGGGCGGTGAGGGCTACGGAGGACAAGAGCTGTGGCCCGAGTAGTCAGGAGTTATGGACTATGCATAAGTTAAAGTAAAATGTTAAGCTGCTGTAACAAGAGAGACTTAACTATCATGTACCTTAAAGAATGAAGGAGATTTTCTCTTTCTGGAAAGAGTCCAAGGTGAATGTTCCTGCTTGGTTGGTGGCTCTGCTCAAAAGGCATTCAAGGATTCGAGTTCTTTCCCTCTTGTAGGGTCAATATCCCCTAGGATGTTGGCAAAGATCTGCAGGCCAAATCCTGTTCAGCACTAACTGTTTATGGGCTGTGAGCTGAGACTGGTTTCTACACTTTTAAATGGTTGAAGATAATCGAAAGAATAATGTTTCATGGTACATGAAAGTTTTATAAAATTGAAATTTCAGTGTCCATAAGTCAAGTTTGATTAAACACAGTCACACCCCTGTGTATTGTCTATGGCTGCTTTTGTGCTACAAGGCAGAGTTGAGTATGGTAGTTACAGCAGAGACCATTTGCTGACCCCTGGTATAGAGCCTTCTTGTTATTTATGTGGCCAGCGCTGGGTCCTAGTGGGCAAGAAGGCTGAGAATGGAACACAGAGGAGACATACGCTGTGCCTTAAGGTTTCTCGACTAGACGTAGCACTAGTCACTTCCACTCACATCTTTGGTGAGGAGTTAGCCATAAGTCACATCTAATAGCAAGCGTGGTAGAAATAGTTCATAGTTGGGCAGCCAGGTGCCCAGCTGCTATTTGGTTATTGTAGAAAAAGAGGAGGACAAATTTTGGTAGACAACCACCAGTTTTCAGCACAGACTAAGTTCTCAGAATCAGAGCTGATTTTTCAGGTGCACTTAATCTCTTTTGTGTCCTCATTTTCTTATTGAAGTATAGATTGATCCTCCCTCTATATCATTTGGTGTTTTGGAATTGGTTTTAAGAAGATCTCTATGGCAGTGTCAGCTCTTTTGAAGTAAAGTGTAAAAAGACTATTATAATTTAAGTAGTTCCCTTCATATAGATAGCTGCATTCTTTTTTTTTTTTAAATTTCAGCATATTATGGGGGTACAAATGTTTAGGTTATGTGTGTTGCCTTCCCCCCTTTCCCCCCTAGAGTCAGAGCTTCAAGTGTGTCCATCCCCCAGATGGTGTGCATTGCACTCATTATGTATGTATATACCCATCCCCTCCTCCCCCCTCCCATCTGCCCAACGCCTGATAAATATTATTCCTATGTATCCACTTAGGTGTTGAGCAGTGAAACCAATTTGCTGGTGAGTACATATGCTACTTATTTTTCCACTCTTGGGATACTTCAATTAGTAGAATGGGTTCCAGCTCTATCCAGGAAAATACAAGAGGTGGATAGCTGCGTTCTTAAAGACATTTATAATTATCATTTGAATGTGGATTCCAGAAACTGTAGTATATGAAAGAGGAAAATGTTGAGCTTGGGACTGGCTTTGGTGGTTGAAAGGAAGGACAGATTTTCTGAGATGATATTTTCTCAGCTGGCCAATAATGAGCAGCTGACATTATGATGTCCCTCAACGTCTGCAAATAGGATCTGAGCTATTGTGTTTCCATAGTTAACAGGGAGGGCACAAACCACACATTTTGAAAGTCATTTCATTTATTGAAGATTGTATCAGCAATGTGCTTTAGATTCTTTCGGATGACTGCAAGATGCAAAAACAATGCAAAGGTGAGAACCTTTCAGGATCAAATATAAGAATTTAGACTGGGTATGGTGGCTCACACCTGTAATCCTAGCACTCTGGGAGGCTGAGGCAGAAGGGTTGCTTACAGCCCAGGAGTTTGAGACCAGTCTGAGCCAAAGTGAGACCCAGTCTTTACAAGAAAGAAAGAAAGAAAGAAAGAAAGAAAGAAAGAAAGAAAGAAAGAAAGAAAGAAAGAAAGAAAGAAAGACCCCCCAGCAGGGCGTTGTGGCATGTACCTATAGTCCCAGCTACCCTGGAGGCTGAGGCAGAAGGATTGCTTAGAGCCCAGAAGTTGGAGGTTGCAGTGAGCTACAGTGACGCCACGGCACTCTACTCAGGGCAAGAGAGTGAAACTCTGTCTCAACAACAACAACAAAAAACCCTGCAAAAAACAAAAAAACAAGGAAACTGAATTAAAAAAAAGAAAAAATATAAGAATTTGCCTGAATGAAATGGGAGTATACAGGCATACTTCATTTTATGGTGCTTTGCTTTATTGTACTTTGTAGAGATTGTGTTTTTTACAAATTAAAGGTTTGTGGCAATTCTGTGCTAAGTCTGTCAGTGCCATTTTTTTCAACAGCATGTGCCTTGTGTCTTTGTGTCACATTTTGATAATTTCACAATATTTCAAACTTCTTATTATATCTGTTACAGTGACCTATGATCAGTGATTTTTGATGCTATTATTGTACTTGTTTTGGGGAGTCACAAACCGTGTGCACATAAGACGGCAGACTGGATAAATGTGTGTGTTCTGACTGCTCCGCCGACCGCTGCTCCCCCGTCTCTCTTCCTCTCCTTGGGCCTCCCTCTTTCCTGAGACACAACAATATTAAAATCAGGCTGCTTAATATCCCTACGATGGCCTCTAAGTGTCCAAGTGAAAGGAGAAGCCGCACATATCTCACTTTAAATCAGAAGCTAGAAATGATTAAGCTTAGTGAAGAAGGCATGTTGAAAGCTGAGACAGGCTGAAAGATAGGTCTCTTGTGCCAGTTAGTCAGGCTGTAAATGCAAAAGAAAAGTTCTTGAAGGAAATTAAATTTGCGAACACACAAATGATAAAAAAAAAAAAGTGAAATAGCCTTGTTGCTGATATGGAGAAAGTTTTAGTAGTCTGGATAGAAGATCAAACCAGTCACAACTTTCTCTTAATCCAAAGCCTAATCCAAAGGAAGGCCCTACATCTCTTCAATTCTATGAAGGCTCAGAGGGGTGAGGAAGCTGCATGCAGAAGAAAAGTTTGAAGCCAGCAGAAGTTGGTTCATGAGATTTAAGGAAGGACACCATCTCTATAACATCAAAGCTCAAGGTGAAGCAACAAGTGCTGAAACCAGTTATCCAGAAGATCTATCTAAGATCACTGATGGAGGGCGCTATACTAAACAAGATTTTCAATGTAGACATAACAGCCTTCTATTGGAAGAAGATGCCATCTAAGACTTTCATAGCTAGAAAGGAGAAGTCAATGCCTGGCTTCAAAGCTTCAAAGGACAGGCTGACTCTCTCATTAGGGACTGATGCAGTTGATAACTTAAAGTTGAACCCAATGCTCATTTGAAATTCTGAAAATCTGTGGGCCCTTAAGACTTATGCTAAATCTACACTGCCTTTGCTCTATAGATGGAATAACAAATCCTGGATGACAGCACATCTGTTTACAGTATGGTTTACTGAATATTTTAAGCCTATTGTTGACACCTACTGCTTAGCAGAAAGATTACTTTTAAAATATTACTGCTCATTGATAATACACCCAAGAGCTCTCATGAAGACGTACAAGGAGATTAATGTTTTTTTTTTCATGTCTACTAACACAACATCCATTTTATAGTCCATGGATCAAGTAGTAATTTTAAATTTCAAGTCTTAATATTTAAGAAATAGAGTTTGTAAGGCTATAGCTACCATAGATAGTAATTCCTCTGTTGGATCTGGGAAAAATGAGTTGAAAACCTTCTGGGAAGAATTTATCATTCTAGATGCCATTAATAATATTGGTGATTCATGGGAAGAGGTCAAAATATCAACGTGATCAGAAGTTTGGAAAAAGTTGATTCCAACCCTCTCGTGGGTGACTTTGAGGAGTTCAAGACTTCAGTGGAGGAAGTAATGACAGATGTGGTGAGACTAGCAAGAGAACTGGAATTATTAATAGAACCAGAGCCTGAAGATGTGACTGAATTGCACCAATCTTGTGATAAATCTTGAATGGATGAGGAGCTGCTTCTTATGCATGAGGAAAGAAAGCCGTTTCTTGAGATGGAATCTACTCCTAGTGAAGATGCTGTGAACATTATTGGAATTGCAACAAAAGATTTAGCATATTCCATATGCTTAGTTGGTAAAGCAGCAGCAGGGTGTGAGAGGATTGGCTCTAATTTTGAAAGAAGTTCTACTGTGGGTAAAATGCTGTGAAACACCATCGCATGCTACATAGAAATCTTTTGTGAAAGGAGGATTCAATTGATGTTGCAAACTTCATGGTTGTCTTATTTTCAGAAATTGCCTGCAATCACCCAACTCTCAGCAACCATCACTCTGATCAGTCATCAGCTGTCAACATTGAGGCAAGACCGTCCACCAGCAAAAAGATTAAGGCTCACTGAAGGCTCAGATAATCATTAACATTTTTTAGCAATAAAATATTTTTTAGTTAAGGTATGCACTCTTTTTTAGACATCATGCATAATGCTATTGCACACTTAATAGACACATAAACTTTTATATGCATTGGGAAATTAAAAATTTGTGTGACTTGCTTTATTGTTGATATTTACTTATTGCAGTGGTCTGAAACCCAACCCACAGTGTCTCTGAGGTATATGCATGTAGACTTATGGTGCCTGACCTGAGTGGATATGGACACAAATGAATTAGACTTTTAGGTTTCTGACTGATAGAAAGAAAGTGAAACATGCTGGGTTACATAGTTCTCATTTATTGTAGCAGACAGAATTCAAATGCAAGCACAGGGAATATTTTCTTGATTTTAAGAACTACTCTAAGAATAACTATATGGGAAGTGTCAGCAAAGCCTACCATTTTGAGCTTCTTGAAGAATAAATCTATATCTTTGAGACAAATTACATAAAATGGTAAAAACTCTGAAGCCTACTTCTAGAAAAAATCCTATATGGTAAAAGTGACTCTTGCTTTCATAGAACCTGATATAAGAAACTAAACTGTGGAAAAAAACCCTACTTTTGGCTGGGTGTGGTGGCTCATGCCTGTAATCCAAGCACTCTGGAAGGCAGAGGCAGGAGGATTGCTTGAGGTCAGGAGTTCAAGACCAGCCTGAGCAAGAGCAAGACCCCATCTCTACTAAAAATAGAAAAAATTAGCTGGGCGTGGTGGTGCGCACTTGTAGTTCTTGCTACTGGGGAGGCTGAGGCAGGAGGATTGCTTAAGCCCAGGAATTTGAGGTTGCAGTGAGCTATGGTGATGTTACTGCACTCTAGCAGAGGTGACAGACTGAAACTGTCTTAAAAATAAAACCAAACAAAAAATCCCACTTTTGTAAGTATGATTATTTATATTAAAAAATCAAAATAATTACTCCATTAAGAAACAAATCACCTACCAGAATCTAGGGTGCATGATATGTGTAGATATTGATAGCTAAAGTGTTTTTAAAGCCACTGTTAATGGCAGATCAATCTGCAATGAAGAAAAATTG